TTTGTGGCCTGCCAGTAAACCCAAAGCAGAAGAAGAAGAAGTGACGTCAGCGGCTCATTTGCGTAATCTTCCCTCAGGGAAAAGTACTCCGGTGTGAACGCGATTGGTACTTAGTGCCCTGGGGTAAAAAGTGCCGGGGCACTGAGTGCCGGAACTAAGTACTGCAAAGTACTTGGTGTGAACGCGGCTAATGACTACAAAGTCTTTGAAGATCTGGAAAGATTCACCAAAAACCAAACTAGTTTTTTAGTGACCAAATAAACAGCAATGTTCAGATCAATTACTTATTTATGTTTTAAATAAAGGTGAATGTATTATTGTATTAATATCACTCTATAACCATAATACGTTACATAGTCTATCTATCACAGCCAAATCCAGCCTCTCCTCCTGGCTGGCTGGAGAAGAAGGTTGCACAGCCATGGCCACGGATACAGCTTCACTTGTGGAGCTAGATGGCAATGATGGTGGTGAGGTGAGCTATCGTTAGCCTCCGGCTCCGGCTGCGGTTGCACATCAACATTGCTAATGTTAGCGCTCGATTTCGAGGACGATGTATGACCATTTTTTTTTTCTAATTTTGTCAGTTTAGCTGTTACATCTCCTTGTTCTCTCTTGTCCTTTCTCTTTTGAGCGCTGCTCTTGTGCTTTGGTTTGCTTGTACATTATAAATGCAAGCTATTACATTTTTTATAATGCTACCGAACTTGCTGCTGCTATACAGTACAATACAGGTTGATTCAACGATTCGCTCGTCACACAAGGTATCACATGACATGAAAGGGAACAAGGTCATTGGACAGACAAATTACAAATTAATTTAGGTTGCTTGGTTACGTTGAAGACTGCGTGAACCGGTCAATGCCATTGGGGCCCCCCAAAAAAAAGATTACAAAATATTTTTTTAAAAAGAAAAGAAAAAATAATTACACATTTTTTTTTTTTTTTTTTTTTCATGGGCCCCTTGCCAGCTCTGGGCCTCGGTGCGTTGCACCGGCTGCACCGTCGATAGTTACGCCACTGTACAGTGTTCCGCGGCATCCGCCGCTGCGGAAATGTGGGGCAGGGCTGTAAAGTGGGGGGGCCAATGGCCCCTTGGCCCCCCTGCTTCCGGCGCCCCTGCCCCTGGTTTGTCCCCTACTCTAACTGCCACATGACAACAACTCAAAATCAATTTAAGCATATTTAAAAACGGGGACATTTCCGGGGACAGATTGACCCGGGGATTTGCCACCAAAGCCAGGCGGCATTTGGTATGATCACCATAGCCATATGAGGCCAGAGGGCTGCCCTTTGCTTTCAGCTGTCAGATTGTAAACAAAGTCACGTGACTGGGGGCAGATGACAGCGCTGACAAGGGGTGTTTCTCATTGTCAAGGAAAGATGCTCCAGAGCCACTATTTCAAGGATGCTACGTCATCGAGTCCCGCCGAAGGACTGTTCCAATGTCCAGGCTCCTTGGAATTCTACCGAGCCCGGCGTCCTTCGTAGCGAGAAATTTCGAGGCTGCACATGTGTATCCACTGTGGTCTTAAAATCCCCACAATGCTTTGCACACGGACCAATTTCCAAATCTTTGACGGAAATCGTGTTCCATTTAAGGCGGGGCCTCTCATATGACGCACACCTGCACACCTGTTAGCCTGTTCCACCATTCCTCATTTTCCGAGGCTAGGAAGGATTCTTGCCTCGCTTCTGAAGGAAGTGACTCGGAAGACATCCTACCAAGGAAGCGTCCTCGACATTGAGAAACACCCAAGGTGTGTTTTATCGCAGCGAGGCGCTACAATACTAATTGTGGGCTTATCATGTTGATTCGGCCACAACAGAAAAAAAACAACCTCTTGCTCTCTCCAGAGGGGCAGGTCAGCCAAAAAGGACAAAAGGGCCGTTGCCCTTGCCCGAGCAACATTAGCCCGTATGTGCACGTCCCTGAGAGTTAGTGTTTTTGTGTATACATCTGCTGCTTCAGTATGTCAGTGATATCATGAATGAACCCTGTTTAACAGTGCTTTCTTTTTTATTATTCTTGATGCTTACCAGGGGCTTGCATGTAGTGTTATACTTTATATGCTGGAGAGGCATTCTCTTTTTGAAGTCCTTGATACATCAACACTTAATGTTTTTTTCCTTTCTCTTCGTCATTTAGAATTGATCCACTATAGGTATTCTGCATTGTTCTTAGCCTCCACCAGCACTTACACTTGTTTGGTCCATATGTTAAGTCAGTGGTTCTCAAACTTTTTTCAATAATGTACCCCCTTTGAAAAAAAAATTCAGCCAAGTATACCCTGATCTGCGCAAAAACAATTTGTTAGGGAAAAAATGCCTATATAAAGAGGTACAGTACAGCGCTGCACCATCAGTGTCTGATTTATTAAACCAACAACCTTGTAACTGAGAAACACTTAAATGCTACATTTCAAATGTTTACAATCCATCACTAAATGCATGGCAAACCAATTTCAACATCATGCAATAACACTAAGACGACATTAGTTGCATTGAACTGATCTTTTTTACAAGTTGTATTTACAATTTAGTGAGAAACATGGGCTTGTGCTTCACTGAGGATCTTTGTCATTCTGACAGGGAGGCAAACTGCAGTTATTACACTTCGCGTTTTGAAATATGTGTAACTCTGTTAATATAAAATCCACGCTGCTCAAACTTCGTTACTTTTCCTAAAATTGGTTTATTTATTTATTTTGGGGCGTGGGGAATGAAGAGAGAAAAATATATGAGCATTTTATGAGCATGGGATTTTGACCCCTCATATAAACATATGCATAATGCTGCGCTATACTTTGCGGCCACACGCTGTTGCCAAGCAATGCTTATTGTTTAGGTCCTTTGATAAGCAGGCAGTCATATCATTTGCTAGAACATGCTAGATCTGATAGATTTGGACATAAACGCGAGTGAGGTATAACCGGACGGGAGAGAGAGATCAGATCAGCTGCTGCTGACGGAGAACACGCAGCTCTGCATGATTACAGCTCCCCCGCTGTGACGGACCGTTGAGCGGAGCAAAATACACTAATGGCGCATTTCCACCGCAGGCCTCGCTCGACTTAGTACGGTTTTGTTAGGCCTTGTTAGGCCTTGTTAGGCCCAGCTCACTTTAATGCTGCGCTTCCATTACAGTTTAGGAACTGGGGTAGTATCTATAGTAACGCAGTGTAGGCGGAGCCGTGACGTCATCTTCAATGAGCACCCCAGAAAGACAACATCAGCCGTTAGCTGTTAGCACTCAAGCTCACAGCTCCTCATATCTGTTCAGAAACTAGACAAAAGTTAAACAAGTACACACCACAGACTGCCTGTGTCATGGCGAGTACAGTCGCTGGTTTATTTATGTCTGTAGGCCGTTGTTGTGAGTGTGGACGGTCGGAGCATATATTGCGTTAACTTAGCCGATCTCCATTTAGGCAACGCGCATTTTAAAAGGTTTTTCGCCTGCCGTCTGTCTGCAGTCAAAGCATTAATTCCGGTATCAGTATGTTGTTACTTCGGCATCATTTTGAAACGTGTATTACAATTAAATCACGGTCAAATATGTTCATCTTGTTGTAGTTGTAGCCCCCTTGCCAGCGATTCTCTCTCTAGTTTAGCAAACTCAGCCCGACTCAGCCCGACTCAGCCCAACTCAGCCCTGTTTGTTGGCCCCGATAGAACCACGATTTTGTCAGGCCAGAAAAGAGGTGAAAAAGTACCCCCGGGCCGGAATTAGGCATAGTGGAAACGTAACCAAAAACGGGCCCGGCACGACACGGCACGCTTAAACCGCGCTCCGCGCCATGGTGGAAATGCGCCATCAGAGTTAGACCGAACACACTAAGCTAGTTTATCTACTCTGGAACTAGCTAAACTAGTTATAAATATATTTATTCTTTACTGTCGGGTCACTTATTACAGGTTCAGCGAGCTGCACGAGACTGACCGGCTTTCAGGAGAGGGAGAGGAAAAGAGAGCACCCCGTTTATTTTTCCCATTTTATTATCCAGAATTGCTGTAAACTTTTGAATAAAGTAGTTCATTTACTATTAGTAGTGTGTTTAAATGCATTACTTATGTTGTTTTTTTTCATTAACATAAAATAAATCTCACATACCCCCTGCAGTACTCCAACATACCCCTAGGGGTCCGCGTACCCCCATTTGAGAACCACTGTGTTAAAGGTGGGGTAGGTAATTTTGGAGAAACCAACTCGAGTGCGCTAGAATTTGAAAATACACAGCCGGAAAAAATCTGCTACTTCCTTACAGAGTCCCTCCTCCAACACACACGAACGCGCACATGACCAATGAGAGCACGAGATAAGTTTGTGCACAGATGGAAGGCTGACAGGCAGGTAGGCCATCCAGTTATTTTAGCCGGGCCGGCTAAAATGATTGGTCGTGCTTTTTACAGCACTACGGCTTCCACAGATGAAATTTTTGTATGGATTTTTTGTCAAAGCACTGAAGATATTCATTGCTATCGGGATGTTAAGAGCATTCCATGGAATATAACAAAAAGTGTATCTCGAGCCGGTTTCTCAAACTTACCTACCCCACCTTTAAGTGATAGTGGTCAAGGAGCAACCTCTTTTTTTCTCTCAAAATTGTATTGAAAACAAAGAGGTTTAACAACAAATGGCTTACAAAAAATAAAATAATATTATACTAAGTCCATAAGATCTCAGTCTTTTAAGGGATAAAATGAAACAAAATGTATTTTAAATGACACATTATAGATAAGAAACATAGTTATGCTTATGAGAGGTTAACTCAGTTGAAAGCACGTCTGGTGTGTTTGTTACTACACGTACTATCCAGGTTAATAACAAATATGCCTGGAGCTATAATTGTGTTAATATCTGTGAGATTACAATCCTTTAGAACTAAATAGACCCAGTGGGGCCAACCTCTAGAGGGCAACAGCTGCATCGGCCCTGCCACGTCCACGTGCTAGAAGAAGAGAGATTGTGACGTCAACGCGTATGAGCCTATGAGCATGCCTACTACTCTCGGATATAAACAAAGGCAGGACGCATAGCTGCAATAAACTACACTCTCTTAGTATTTTACATGTAAACAGTACCGGGAAATTGGAAACCGACTTATCTAAAGATGGAAAACGGGTTATTGATGCGAGTGAGTGTTTTTACCGACCAAGGAGGCAGGAAATACATGGAAGATGTGACCGAGGTCATAGTAGAGCCCAAGCCGGGAGAAGACGAACAGAGCCCGGGAGAGGCAGAAGACATCAATGGGGGAGACTTTATGGTCAGTTCTCCGGCTAAGGACACGCATCAGCACCGGACTGATGAACCAGACACCCCCCCACCGGTTTCAGATGCAACGTGTGAAACTGTGCATACGACAGACCAATGTGTGTTATTGGAAACATCTTTACCGGGAGGTCAAAACCCGCCGCGGGCTGAGCAGAGCCCCTCTGGTCCGTCCCGCCGCTCCGTTGCGTTCTTCGCGGTGTTCGATGGGCATGGGGGCCGCGAGGCAGCGCAGTTTGCACGGGACTATCTTTGGGAGTCCCTGAAGAGACAGCGGGGCTTCTGGTCCGACTGTGACCAGGAGGTCTGCTCTGCAATACGCAAAGGATTCGTAGCTTGTCACCATGCTATGTGGAAAAAACTACGTAAGTGTAATAACACTGTACTATGTAGTCAAATAACGTTATCAACTTTCAATACCGTCCATTGTTATGTTCCTCTCCCTCTGTTTGAGTAGCATGAACATCACAAACCTCACAACAGGCCTAACGTTAGCACATCAGAAAGTTTTATGGCTACTTCTTCGTAGAGCTTGCCCCTACGAAAGCCGAACAAGGAGACTCAATGGGCTCAGTCAAGTCTTTGATTGTCTTAAAAAATATATATAAAAATAGGCTGACCTAGACCAATTGCAACTACGTTTAGCCTTAGTTTATTTTGCTTTTTAAATATACATTATTAATTGGTTTAACAGTTGAGCCAGCGCCGTATACGGCACTGAGTTGAGCAACCAAAAGCACAACAGCTATCAAAGTTAGCAGTGGCCACCGGGTTCAAAGACAAAACCTGCCCCATGTACGAATTCAGAAGTCTGTTCACAAGTTAGGTAAAGTAGTCAAGCAATATTCTATTGTTTTTTAGGATTGAAAAAACGTGTGCTGTTATAGCTATATTTTGTTACGGTTAAATGTTTCGTTATTACCCATTAAATAACTTATTGAATCGTGAATTAGCCAGTGTGTGCTATAACATAGAGACACAGGCTGTCACCCTGGATATGCCTGGGCATGTCAGCTGTTCAACAGCTGGTCAAATAAGGTGTGTACGCACAGTGTCTCCAAAGCGCATGTCAGTAACACTGATTACATCGGAAAGACTTGCTCCACGACATACTTCAATGTTGTCATCAGGCCAATTAATCAAACAATCAATGATAGAGATTAGCAATAGATAAATACAAAAAATGCTGTGCTGTTATTTGTGGTTCAGTGTAACCCAGGGAAATAAGAAGTGAGCCGTTTATTTGCAGTAAAGGTCAAAATTAACAACAATGTTCTACATTTAATCTTCTCAGCTGAATGGCCAAAGACGCTCACAGGCCTTCCCAGCACATCGGGCACCACAGCCAGCGTCGTGGTCATCCGAGGGAACCGCATGTATGTGGCCCATGTTGGGGATTCAGCAGTGGTTTTAGGGGTCCAGGATGACCCCTCAGTCCCATTCATCAGAGCTGTGGAAGTCACACAAGACCACAAACCTGAACTACCCAGAGAGAGGGAGCGTATTGAAGGTCTGGGAGGAAGGTAAGACTTAACCTACAAAACATCCTGTCTCTTCATTATTTTAAAACTAGCGCAGTGCCTGCTCTGTATGTACTTGAATTGCTGCTTTTTGGGTTTCAAAACGAATCTATGCACAATTTGTGCTGCACAAACTTATGTTAGAAGCACTACAGTCAAATAATTATGCGTGCAAAAGCTCCTATAATCATTTTAGAGCTCCAATAAAGGCAAAGCCCTGCACATATAACAGCACTTATGCTGTTATGGATGGTCGTGCAACATGTCCAACACACACACACACACACATACCTTTTTCTACAATGTGTGATGACACTCAGGATTTTGATGTGTATCTATTTGCAATCTTATGGCTGGGAGCTGTAGGGTCGCCGGTTCAAGTCCCCGACCAGACCTAAATATGGACTGTGGACTGCTACTTGGAGAGGTCCTAGTTCACCTCCTGCCCTGCTGTGGTGCCCTTGAGCAAGGCACCGGACACCCCCCCCCCCCACTCCCATTGCTCCCCGGGTGCTGTACAATAGCTGCCCACTGCTCCTAGTACTAGGTTGCATTCGAATAGTCCATTTAGCTTAGGAACCTTCCTAACGGAGTGAAATGACCCGGAAGTCCCTCAGTGGCAGCCATGATAAGTGCCGTTCGAATTCTCTAAATGAAAGGAAAGGAGGTTTCAAACTTCCTTTATAACCTCCTTTAGCTTAGGAACCACTGGACCTCCCTAACCGAAAGGAGAGGAGAAAATGCTGCCCCACAATGCCTTGCAGCCGCAGCATTTGCCGTCACACAACAGTCGGCCGTTCACGGAAACAACCGATTATGAACGAGAAATGATATCATGAAAGTTACGGTGCTTATTAAGCATTTTAAAACGTATGTGGTAAGTTGCCAAAGTGCTTTGTTTTGAACGTTCATCAGTATTATAATCAAAAAGAGAAATATGAACGTTAGTTTTTACTGAAATGATCAAATAAAGTCAACATTTCACAGTCTTTACTGAGCTGTGTGGGGTTTGTTCAACTTTTAAAAGATGTTTGAATGGTGATATACACAGTGATAGATGTTAAGGACTAACGTTTATAATAAATACATTTGTATTGATTTTAAGATCTTTTCATACAATCATATGTATTGGGATCATTTGTATTAATGTTGACCGGAGGGAGAGGATGACGAGCATAAGTTTCACTTTCCTTTTTTATTTCAATTTCAACTTTGGTCATGAAGAATATGTTTCTCTGTTGTCCCCGTTCATAAAGCATAAAACAACAGCATCAGAGCACGGTGCAGAGTCTCTAGATGAGTTTACAGTAGTCCCTCGTTCTTATTAAACATCCATGTTGTAGTCCGCTGTATAGAAAACTGTAGTTTCCATAGTTTCCCCACAGCAGCAGGCGCACATTTATGACCTCTGCTGGCGCATCATAAACACGTCGGATAGTGAAAGTGCAGTCGGATTCTCTAAAGTGCCGCAGTCTCTTCTCCTAAATCCTTTTGAATTCTCCTATCCACTATTCCTTAACCCCATGACGTTTCACTCCGAGGTCAAGGAATAGACGATAGGGTTAGAACTTAGGAGCTGTTTTTTTGGAGTATTCGAACGCAACCCTTGACTCCTGGTACTAGGATGGGTTAAATGCAGAGGACACATTTCCCTGTGTCTGCTGTGTGCTCTGCATGTGTGACCCAGGGTTTCCGTTAGCCGGTAATTACCGGTTTTTAGCTGGTAACATTTATTAAAAACCGGTAAATTAAAAATGTCCGGTAATAATTAGGGATGCTCCGATCGATCGGCCGACGGTCATTATCGGCCGATATTCACTCTTAATAGTTTGATCAGGAGAGCTGGATCTGATCGATATGGACATAAACGCGAGTGAGTGAAGTATAACCGGACGCGAGAGAGAGATCAGATCAGCTGCTCTGAGGCACGCAGCTCTGCATAGAGTGGCGAAGTCACGCCCATCTACTTCCGCCCCATGGGACCTTATTTCGGAAAAAATAATGTATTGAAGTCAATGGAGAGAGAAAACGTATCTTTCGATCCCGTTTGAATTGTGCCATGAATTACACATATGATGTTTGTCAATCTTAAAAAATAATTTCCATGTCAAAAAAGTCACAGTTTGTCGTAAAACTGTTGAAATATAAGACTATGAAAAATACGTAACTAGAAAGACTACAAATCCCAGAGTCGCGGAAGTGATGTCACAATTGTTTTCCTCCACTAAGAGATAGCTAAGATCAGCGCCATATAGATATCATCTATCTATATGGCGCTGGCTAAGATAAGATAACTTTAACAAGATGCCTGTGTGCTTAGTACCAGGTTGTTATCATACCAGCAATGGGTCTTGCTCGTTCTTTCACTTCCCGTCTGATGAAAGGACCAGGAGTGTCTGGATCAAGCTAGCTAGTAGCTAGCACGTTAGTTAGCATTACAGCCTTGTCATTTTTATTAGCCTTAACATGAAGTAACATTAAGTAACCCAAAATGTTAAACAGTAAGAGTAGTAGTCATATTTCGTGAACCCTTTGAAGAGTACTGTCACCGGTGTGATCATTCTATAATACACAATTTAAGCCCGGGGGAGAAATGCTAACGCTAACGCTAGCATCGACGATCTTCTCTACTTCATGCTATCTGCACAAATGGTTGACATTAAACATTAAAACGACCAGGCAGTTCAGAGAGAATCAAAGGAAGGCAGGCAGGCAGCTTTGCATGACATTCTTCAGGACGTGTTTCATTGTGGTGATAGTGAGGGTAGTCAATCGTTTTGTTGACAAGACAGTAGTGACGGCCATCTTGGTGACGTGTGTTGTTGACCAGAGATGTAGTTCATTGAGCGTTTCACACAAACAAATGTGTTACTTCACAGTTTTACGACACATTTTTTTTTTTTTGACTTGAAAATTATCTTTTAAATTGACAAACATCATATGTGTAATTCGTGGCACAATTCAAACGGGATCGAAAGATAATCTTTCTCTCTCCATTGACTTCAATACATAATTTTTCCGAAATAAGGTCCCATGGAGGTCCACCGGAAGGGGAGGGACTTTGCCACTCTATTATCACCTGAAGCCCCGCCCACTGTTTAGCGAGCTGCATGAGAAACTGACGGGCTGCCAGGAGAGAGAGGGGAAAAGAGAGGGTCCGTTTCTCCCGTGTTATTATTCAAAGTTAATGTAAACTTTTGAATAATGTACTTCATCTACTACAAGTAGTTTGTTTGAATGTAATAATTATGTTGTTTGTTGTTTGTGGAATCATTTATTGAAAAATGAATCTGAATATTTCGATCTGTTACGATTATAAACTGAAGCAATATAAAAATGAGCCCCATTAAAGGTGGGGTAGGTAATTTTGGAGAAACCAGCTCGAGTGCACTAAAATTTGAAAATACACAGCCGGAAAAAATCTGCCACGTCCTTACAGAGCCCCTCCTCCAACACACACGAACGCACACATGACCAATGAGGGCACGAGATAAGTATGTGCACAGATGGAAGGCTGACAGGCAGGTAGGCCATCCAGTTAATTTAGCCGGGCCGGGTAAAATGATTGGTCGTGCTTTTTACAGTACTACGGCTTCCACAGATGACATTTTTTAATGGATTTTTTGTCAAAGCACTTAAGATATTCATTGCTATCGGGATGTTAAGAGCATTCCATGTAATATAACAAAAAGTGTATCTCGAGCCGGTTTCTCAAACTTACCTACCCCACCTTTAACTGAGTTTTAAACATCAGCATATCCGGTCATAGTCCGGTAATTACCTGCTAACGGAAACTCTGCTACACAATTCATATTATTATTATTGAAACATGACCGGTAAGTTTCAAATTTGTCCGGTAAAATAAATTCTGTCCGGACATTTGACCGGCAAGAAAAAATCCTAGCGGAAACCCTGGTGTGACCAAAGAGGGTTTCATCCCTCCAATTCTTCTTACCAAAGTCCTGATACACACAAATACACACGCACACAAACGTCTGTTGTAATGGTATAGTGTCTCTTATGTAGTGTACTTCCTGCATTCATAAACTTATTTTCAAGCATATTTCACAGAACACAAAACAATAACATTCTTAAAATCTTGTTGCTAATTGGCTGTAAAGTTAATACACAACATAGCATATGGTTGAAATTCTGAGTAAATGTAACTATATTTCTTTGACCAGACACACGCTTGTCGAGTAACAGTTTGTTTATTCTCACAACCCCCACCAGCCCTGTCCAATCCACAACAAAGAGGCGAGAGAAAGCTTATTTTTTGCACAATAGCAGATCAAATCATGTTATCTGTCTCAAGAAATAAGGTCCTTTATACTGTCTGTGGCATGTCTACTCATAAGATGTTTTTGTATGATAGGTCCCTGGATGGCTTTACAACAAAAATGTTTTGCTTACATTTAATGCAAAATATCCAGCCTTGGCTATCAGGGTTGAGCTTTTATTTTATTTGACTTGCTCGGTAGGAAGTAAGAAAATCTGAACGTAGAAGTGGACATATTTATATACATTATAATTCATTATATTTATCTCTGTGTGCCTTATTTGATGTTAGCTTAGTCTAATCCATGTAATTGCAGCTTTGCAATAATGTCTAAAGATGCTTTCTGAAATGTTTGAATACCGCAAATGTGGCAGCTTACCTCTTCTTCTCCCGCCTTCCTCCATCTGCTTTCAGTGTTATCAAGAAATCTGGAGTGAACCGGGTAGTCTGGAAAAGGCCGAGGCTGAGCCACAACGGCCCAGTGCGTAGGAGCACCGTCATCGACAATATCCCATTCTTGGCAGTAGCCCGTGCTTTAGGTAGGAAAATAACAAGCCTGTTTCGGTGGCCTGAATGAATGCATGTTTTGGGTCATGTTATAGAAAAGTTACAAATTATTAATAAAAAAGAGCCACAGTTTAGTTAAGTCGTGTTTATAATAATGAGCTAGAGAGCCAGAGGTTTTGAACCCCCAATGGACAATAACAGTTGATCTTTAATGTATTTAAAAGGAAGAATTCAATGAGGAAATTGGACACTGATAACTTGTGCCAGAGAAAAAAAATGCTATTTATTAATGATTTCTCATTTATTTGCATTCTTGCAAAATGTGTTAAAGCTTTCCATCATACAGTTGTTGAAATGCTCTACAATTTGACACCGACACTTGCTCTTTTTCAATAAGAAGCTAAGTTTCCTTTTCTGTAACAGGTGATCTGTGGAGCTATGACTTCTATAGCGGGGAATTTGTGGTTTCACCAGAGCCGGACACTAGTGTGGTGATCCTTGACCCCAAAAAACACCGCTACATCATCCTGGGCAGCGACGGTCTGTGGAACATGGTGCCACCTCAAGACGCCATCTCCATGTGTCAGAACAACGAGGCAACGGTGAGTGGAGAGCTACAATAGCAAGGTTCAAGGTTCAAGGTTCTTTATTTAGTCATACGAACATAGCTACAGTGTAGTTATGCCGATGAAAATCTTAGGTCACAGGCTTCTCCAACAGTGCAACACAAAACACAGATAAACAGCATAATATAGTGCAAGTAAATAGTAAATACAAAAAAAAAAATTGTTTACAAAAGTGAAATAGTGCAATAAGAGTCTATATGCAAGTTATTGGAATATGATATATTAGGTAAATAGATAAATAATTTCTAAGTAGCAGCCAGGTGAATATTATGGATGTTGTTTCAAAGTTCAGGTGTTTAGCAGTCTTATTGCCTGTGGGATGAAACTGTCCCTGAGTCTGGTGGTTTTAGTCCTGATGCTGCGGTACCGCCTGCCAGACGGCAGCAGACAGAACAGTTTTTGGCTGGGGTGATGGGGGTCTTTTATAATCCGGAGGGATTTCTTCCTGAGCTGCTGGGAGTAAAGGTCCTCCATGGATGGCAGCTCCGTCCTGGTGATGTTCTGTGCAGTTTTCACCACCCTCTGTAAAGCCTTACGATTGAGGTCGGTGCAGCTGCCGTACCAGGCCGTGATGCAGCCAGTCAGGATACTCTCTATGGTGCACCTGTAGAAGTTGCAGAGTATCCTGGAGTCCATGTTGAACCTCCTCAGCCTGCGGAGGAAGAAGAGCCGCTGTCGAGCTTTTTTGGTGATGGTGGTGGTGTGAAGAGTCCATGTCAGGTCCTCAGTGATGTGGACACCGAGGAACCTGAAGCTGCTGACTCTCTCTACCGTAGTCCCATTGATGGCGATGGGGGCGTGTCCCTCTCTCTGCTGCTTCCTGTAATCCACAATCAGCTCCTTGGTTTTGCTGACGTTGAGATGGAGGTTGTTATCCTGGCACCAAGATGTCAGGTTTTCGACCTCCTCTCTGTACGCCGTCTCGTCATCGTCTGTGATCTGGCCGATGACGGTTGTGTCGTCAGCAAACTTCACAATGGTGTTGGAGCTGTGTGTGGCCATGCAGTCGTGAGTGAACAGGGAGTAGAGGAGAGGGCTGAGCACGCAGCCTTGAGGGGCTCCGGTGTTGAGGATCAGGGTGGAGGATGTGATGTTTCCCACCCGCACTGCCTGGGGTCTGCCCGTCAGGAAGTTCAGGATCCAGTCACAGAGGGCGCTGTTGAGCCCGAGGTCTCTGAGCTTGATGACCAGCTTGGAGGGCACAATGGTATTGAAGGCTGAACTGTAGTCAATGAACAGCATTCTCACATATGTGTTCCTCTGGTCCAGGTGTGAGAGGGCAGTGTGGATGGTGAGGGCTATGGCGTCGTCTGTGGACCTGTTTGCTCTGTAGGCAAACTGCAGGGGGTCCAGAGAGTCAGGGAGGGAGGAGGTGATGAAGGTTTTGACAAACCGCTCAAAGCACTTCATTAAGATGGAGGTGAGTGCTACTGGGCGGTAGTCGTTGAGGCTGGAGATTTTTGTCTTTTTGGGGACAGGAACAATGGTGGAGTGTTTAAAACATGTGGGGACTACAGACTGCAGCAGGGACCTGTTGAAGATGTCTGAACACCTCTGCCAGCTGAACTGCACACACCCTGAGAACACGGCCAGGGATGCCATCAGGTCCAGGAGCCTTGTGTGGGTTAACCCTTTTAAATGATTTACACACATCTGCCCTGTTTAAAACAAAAGGGCAGGGCTCCTGATCCTTCTCTGCACCCCCCGCCTGGCTGCTCTCGAAGCGAGCAAAAAAACAGTTCAGCTCATCTGGGAGATATGCGTACCCCCCGCTGCTCCTTTGTAGTCTGTCATTGTTCTTAGTCCCGCCCACATGTTCCGGGTGTTACAGCCTTTGAAGTCAGATTCCACCTTGTCTTTGTATGTCTCTTTGCACTGCTGATAGCTCTCCGGAGTTCATACCTAGATTTCCTGTACTCCTCCAAATCGCCTGCTCTGTGCGCGATAATGCGCGCTTTCAGCTTGGTACGTACCTCGCCGTTTCTCCAGGGCTTTTGATTCGGGAATGTTCGTAAAGAAACCTTCGGTACCATGTCATCGATGCATTTCCCAATGTAGCAGATGACCGTGTCCGTGTGTGTGTTAATGTTGTTGTCCTCAAACACACTCCACTCCGTAGATGCAAAGCAATCCTGCAGAGCTGAATCTGACTCCTCACTCCATCGCTGTACTGTCAGCGACAGTTATTACCGGTCTGTCCCGTTTAAGTTTCTGCTTGTAAGCAGGCAGCAGCAGCAGTGAGATGTGGTCTGATTTGCCGAAGGGAGGGCGAGGGAGAGCCTTATATCCATGTCGAAAAGGGAAATAAACATGGTCCAGTATGTTTCCCCCGCGCGTCTGGCAGCTGATGTGTTGGTAGTACTTCGGCAGGACCCTCTTCATGTTAGCAGTGTTAAAATCCCCGGCCACAACGAACGCCGCCTCTGGCCGTGAAGTCTCGGTCTTGTCGATAATCCCAAACAGCTGATCGAGTGCCGTGTTGTTGTCGGCTAGCGGCGGAATATACACTGCTGTAATCACAACAGATGTAAATTCTCTCGGCAGGTGAAAAGCCCGGCATGTGATCATGAGGTGCTCTAAATGAGCGGAACAGTCCGAAGAAATAATCCTCACATCTGTGCACCAGTTATTATTAATCATGACGCACACACCACCTCCTTTACTTTTCTCAGAGTTAACTGTCCGGTCCTGGCGAAAAATAGTGAATAGGACTTGTTTGTGTAAAGAGTAGGATGCTCTTAATCTGATATAATTTTGCAACATCATTGATGGATGGCTTCCTTGACTAACTTCCTAAAATGTTGTAGCCAATGGAAAGAGAACATAATCAGAAGGCCATTTAATGATATTTGAGTAATGTTTATCTCATAGCAGACTGTATATGTAACAACATTTTCCATGCGGCAGGCACCGTGTGGTGTATCCAGTGCCCGGCAGCTGGTCAGCCATGCTCTGCTGCGATGGCGTCAACGCATGCTGCGTGCTGACAACACCAGCGCAATCGTGATCACCCTGCAGGAGCCCGGGAGCTCCCAAGACACGCTGCACCATGAGGAGGTGCTGCTTGACCTGGCCAAGGTATCCCAGTGTCCTCCCACCTCCATGTCCCGCGCTGGCACTCCTCTCCTTCAGGTAAGCAGGGTTTTACATTTTTGTGATAAATAAATTATCCAGAATTAAAACATTGATGACAAAGAACCCGAAACGTTTTCATACCACAGTGTGTGATATTGAGACATTATAGAGTGGAACAAGGATCGTTTACATTTTTTGAGCAAAAAGTAAAAATATTTTAAGCTTGTTTAAACCACAGGCCTTATATTATTTTTATCAAACCAACCAAGGGAACCGGAATCAATGATTATTCACGGTTTTAGGACTCATTCTTGCACCACTTTATTGGAAAGATAAATCACTGAAACGCTGTCAAAATGTAATTACGAGTTTTAAACACTTTTGTATCATGACTAAGTGTACAAAGGGTCTCGGGTAATAATACACCTCAGTCAGCTCAATGCAGTAGCAAGTCACTGCAATTTTTTTGTCGGGGATTGTGATTAATCAAAAGTTAGAAGGTGAATTATCCACATTTATGAGCTATGTAGGTGATCATTACTGTTATTTTTACCCTGCAGCGACCTCTAGAGGAAGACACTCCCTCTGCCATGTGTGAGCTCCTCCCTACTTTGGAGCGACAGGACGGACTCTCAGGAAGCAACAGCCTGTATCTCATGAATGTGTCGGGCCCAAGCACCCTCAATCCACTGTGTCCAAAAAGTAGTTCTGAGGTTCCCAGTCCCATTGACAGGACAGTTGGCGGCAGGACCCTCAACAGAAAAAGATTTCTTCAAGGATCATCATCATCAAGCCCGTCGACTAAGAATGCCCGGCGCAGGACTGCCAAAAGGCTGCCGCTGGTGCAGCACAACGCAGAGAAAAAACAGAAAGAGTCCAGTAATGTCTCACCAATTCTCCAGCAGCATAACTAGACTACAGTGTGTGTGTGCTAAAACACACCGCAGAAATACACATAAACCTGCTGCCTCTCACTGATAACCTTGTCTCAGTGGCATTTCTGTTTCTAATGTTTCTCAAAGTGCAAACCAAGCCTTGCTATAGAGGTTGTGGTAAGACTTGTTCAGCCCCAGTACAATACCTATTTAAAAGCTTAATGTGAGCGCATTTTCACAAGACATTTGGTGTATTTTTATAAAAAACTCCTTCCTGGAAGAGAAGAAAAAAAGTATGAAATGATGCTGGTGTGAATATATTGCATGTTATAGTTGAGTGTTGCCTAAGTCAAGCTTTTCATTTAAAGCAAATATATATTTTTTATATGTTCTTTTATCGTTGGATGATATAAAAGCTAAACCTCATCTTCCAACTCCTTGACACTCTGTCCAAATGCCATTGTGTGCACACCCTGTGTTAAAACATAATTATGTATGTTCTGTATGTACTTCTCATTATTTTATGTAATCACTGGAGATGAATCTTGAATATAAACGGAAGGTGCTTCTACAGTCACAAACCAGTAAGCTACTACATGCTGTATATTGATCTATACATATATGTATGTATATGTATGTTAGTCGCATTTTTTCTTCTTTGAGTGTATGTATTTGACTCATCTTGCCTTGTGAGGGTTGTTTTAGGTTATTGATTGCACAATGCATCTTAATGGATTGATCCACACTTAATCATAATAATGAATTTGTTATGAATTATTGCAATTTGTTTTTTTTAATGTCATCACATCCCCTGAGCCAGCTCCAACCGTTCATACATCAAATAGAGATTTTCTATGTTTCCAAGAATGCCTATACAGAAGTTGGTGTTTCTGGTTAATTGCTTTCTCATCCTGGTGTCTCTATAACAAAGATTTCCTTTGCTACTGAGGGACCAACACAACCAGATGTTTACAATCATAATTCATTATTAATTTGTGCTGGCAGAATTCTATTGACGCAGCAATATGGATGGATGTATGCCCCAATAGTAAGAAATGCTCAATTGTAAGCGTATTTGTCCCTACAGATCACTTTGTCACATGATGTTTTGAAAGAGGCTGACTGAGGTTTCTTTAGCATTCAAGCCATTGTCCCTCTCCCATGTAGCAGCTTCAGTTGTATGGTTACTGACGTATGCACAAGGCTCATTTTTGAGTAAATACACAATGCATGGACTTTCTAATAGAATATTCTTGCACTATTATTGTGACTTGATTTCCTTGAGAAGAGTGTTTTTTTTTCTATCTCTAAAATGGATGGAATTCGGAATGGACAAGGATCTAATATTATAACACTGCAAATGTAGTATATTTGATGTAAAATAATCGAACATTCTTAACTTGTTAGAAAGGAATTCTCATTAATGTGAGTTTGCAGACACCGGCAGTGCCCTTGTTTGATTCTAATGGTTTTCTTAAAGAATAAAAAGACTCAGATGAGAAATATTCACTGTGAGAGAAAAATGACTATGACAGAAATAAGACTTACATGATAATGTTTTTTGATTTAGCTTAGTGCAATTTCTTCCAGGAATTTGTAGCACTATGGATTGGTTGAAACATGTTGCATAAGGAATGATGACGTTTCCTCTGCATATACAGTCTGTTACTTTTCATCCTTGTATGAATTTTCTATGTTTTTATTTTATTTCTAATGAATCTAAGTTTACTGATTTACCATGTAGAATAATGACATCCCTGATTCAGATGGTTGTGCTTACAGCCTAAAGTGCATGTGTACAGTGTAAATGTGAAAAACACTATGGAAATTAACCTATTTAAATAAAAAACAAGTGAAGTGTGTCCTTCTTGTCAGATTGGAACCCATACCGCTTCAGTAAGGACTCTGAATTCCACGTTTTTTTCATACTATATAGACAATGCTAAAAATGAATGAAACAATTAATTATGATAAAGTCTGTGCTGAAAACACTGGACTTGTCCTTTAAGTGCCCGGGCCACACGCGGATGTTTACTGACGAAACTTCCGTTGTGCTCAAACGTCAAGTGACCAGCAAGCCAGACTAAGGCCTTCAAACTAAAAGCATAACAAACGCCACTTATCACAAGTAGATAACATTAACAACATTTTGAAAACCTTCTCAATAGAGAATATCTGTTACAAAGTATTCTAAGACAGAAAATACAAAAAAAGAGCTTCTACTTCCAACACACTTATTCGTGTTTTTTAATACATACTTTATTTTGAAAGTACCTGTAGGAAGACATCCTGGTTACTTCCTTTCAACTGAAATGTGATTTCTCAGAGCGGGAAGAATCATGGGGAGGGTTGAGTGGACCTAAACAGGTTGTTTTAGCCAGAATGATTTCTCATACAGTCATGGCATTGTTGACAGCACTAGTTCACGGTTTAACCATTTTCTATGGATACCAGTAACGCTAATAAATCAAAGTAACGGTGCAAAACTTAGCATTAGCCCTGACCTGGCAGTCAGTAATAGCCATAGACTGCATTAAGCTAACAAGTGACTGTTTCTCAAATTTCAGGTAGGTGACAATTTACACAGACAGGAAAAAGTGAAAATAAAACCTAAAATTATTAACTTTGAGTTGAGTGTGTTTGTTGTGCTTGTGTTTGTTGTGCTTTACTGTAACGTAACTTAGCTGGTGAGTTGCTGTAACAGGAGGCCTGTTGTCACAGTTCACACGGGTATGTGTTATATTCAGCTGATATTCTATTTATCAGACATGTTTTTAGTTTCAGATATTCCTGTGAAGCAGGAACAGAGAGACCATGGCTCCACCCTCGGTGCAGTATACCATTGGAGGAGTGAAGGTCACCTTTCCCTGCAAGGCGTACCCATCCCAGCTGGCTATGATGAATTCAGTGAGTAACACCATCATCATCTAGTGGTGTAAAGTAACTAGGTACATTTACTCAAGTACACTACTTCAGTACAATATTAAGATACTAGTACTTTACTTGAGTATTTGTTGCCATTACTTCAATAATTTGTACCATTAGTTACTTTGCAGATTGGAATTAATGATGTGATATAATCAACACTTAAATAAGACATTAGTTACACCTGGTGTAAATCCACAAGCTACCCTGCAGTATACAAAGTCATTAAAGCTAGCTGCACCTTTACCAGCTGAGACAAACACATTAATGCATCAATAATTACAATCAAAACATATAATAAATATTATTTGAAAATTGGCCAAGCTGCATAATCAGTACTTTAGGTATATTTTGAAGCTAATGCTTTTGTACCTTTACTTGAGTTACCTTTGCACAGCAGAACTTTTACTTGTAACAGAGTATTCCTAGACTGTGGTATTTCTAAATCATTTAAGTACAAGATACGAGTACTTCTCCCACCTCTGCCATCACCCCTAATATCATCTAATCAGTTAACTGGACCTGCATAGCAAGTGGTGCTATTATAAATTATATTTATTTGGTGGTCACACAAGGAATAATATTGTTGTATCTGCTTTGGTGATGTTTCAGTCATCTTGTACAGTGTATTTGAGAAAATATCCACAAGTTGTCATTCTAACTTTAATCAAACAATTTTTAACCTGCACAATTGCAAACATTTAATCTCCCCACAGAAAAACCCCAGGTTTCATATTAGATCTAAAATAATGCATCATTTTGTAACGGCACAGGTTGATGCAAAAAGTCTAGTTAATTCTAGCAATAGGTAGCTATGTCTATGTGATTCTTGGTACATACAGACTGTTATGTGGTGTTATATTTACAATATGCTTTTACAAAATACCAACATCCTCAGAATGAAATAATTTAAATCCTACAATAGTTGGTGTGTGTGGATTTTGCATTTAGCAGTTTTGTCTCTACCTTTTCTGCAGATCATACGAGGGCTGAATAATGGGCAGCACTGCTTGCTGGAAAGTCCGACAGGAAGTGGAAAGAGTTTGGCTTTGCTGTGCTCCACCCTTGGCTGGCAGCAGGCTCAGTATGGTAAGTTTGATTTATCCAAGATTAAACAATGGAAAGCAATTGTCTAGGCAAGTAGTCCTACTTGTGACCTAAAACAAAATGAAAAAAACGTTGGTACACAGAAGTTGACATATTAACTCTGATTTTAAGGCCTACTCCATGTTTAGACTGATAGTCCATTTTACTAATATTAATATCGGCTTGTTTCATTGTGTGATGACAGCTAAAGCTCAAGAAGAGGGCAGCCTGGTGAAAGACAAGAGCCAGCCAGAGAAAAACTGTGGAGACTGTAAGAAGTCAGATATTCCCAGTCCCTGTCGGTGTGTGTGCCACAGCAAAGCCTGCAGGAGCACAGCTGTAACCCCACCTAAAGCTGATGTGGTGGACCTCACCTTGTCACCCTGCAAAGACAAGGTAGAGCTGCAGACTCCAGCACCTGAACATGGTTAGTATTTGTATTTATTGTTGCATCATTCTGAAACATGCATAACTCTTCTTATTGACTTTTACAGTCTCCCCAGAGGACTGCTACCGGAGATATATGTGTAAAATATCGGCACATAGATTTTTGGTCGGTTTGGTTTTGCTGGATTCACACAAGGTTTACTGGAAAAAGAAATGTAGTTGGTGCTCAAAAAATCTGTTACTTTGTGTTCCATATTTTTAGATGAGTTTGATCAATTTGTAGAGATTTCTTAGTCCTGTTCCCACAGCTGCGATCAGGGATGTAACATCACTCCAGTCACAATTTTAGCAAGCATAGAAATTGTTTTCATCTGTTTTGGTGTCAAATCCTCTTGCAGTGGATTGAGATAGCCTTTTGTGCACTGTCAGCTTTAGTAAACTATTTTCACACTTCTGTATGAACAATGAACAATACTTTTTTCAAATGGCAACAGGTCAAAATAGGTTATAAAACTGACAATCATCTCTTTGATATGAAATATGCATAATGTATAGAAATAAAACTTTGTTAAAATATTATTGATTTCAAATATAATATATACATTTATGTGGTGGGCATTTTTGTAGGTGATCCACAGCAGTACTTTTTCATCTTGTGCCTCAAGGATGATATTCCTGCTGGTTGTTCAATCTTAACATCAAATTAGGAGCTTAAAGGAAGTGTTAATGCGCACCTAATACAGAATCAATGATGTTAGGCCTCTAAGGTAGATTTAAGCAGCCATTCATTTAATTCCTTAAAATAGTATCCAGAATAGCTGGTTCCTTACTTTTGTTGTTGCAGAAAACGAGTTGAAAAACGATTAAAATCATTAGGGATTCATGAAATACCAGACAAAGTGATGCACCACTTCTGTAAATCTCTATTCTAATAGAACTATTGTCTGTTCAAAGTTGTATTCTGTCTTTAGAGCTAGACATACACATTGTCCTACCGGACCCTTTTTACACTGAAAGGACTTTTCAAACTTAATATCTTTTATTTATCTATATATTAACTAAAAATATGTATCTATTTCATTTGCTGTGTTTCAGTTCCATTGCCAGAGGAGTCGCAGCCCAGTAAAAAGTCTCTAGCCTCTCGACTGTCTGAGAAGTTCCAGTCTTTCCTCGGCTCGGACCAGCAGAAGGACGACGACTTCCAGCCAGACAGGAAACGCCTTCGCACTGCCGAACACACGGTAATTGTAGATGCAGCTTGTGAATTATAGCTTTGTATATACTGCTGTACATATTGTATGTACATTTATACTGAAATGACTGCTGAAAAGGTTAAAGATGAATATATTTTGGCCTTGTCATATCAAATAATATCGATATCTGCAGTGGCTTCAATAGATTGTAATGTTGTAAGTACCATCAATTAGAGTTTGATGGTGTGATTGTACTGAGTGTGCTCTCATGTAAAAATGAATCAATATGCAATGCTCAAAAACCGCCTGACAATCAAATACAACATGGGTGGAAATGAAAGAACAAAAGAAAATATTAACTGGTGCCAATTTCTTTGCAATGTTTCTTATGACAACACATAGTTTATTGCTAAACAGATACTTTTTTCTACACGGAGGTTAAAGATACAAGATCTGTTTTTTATAAAACATCTTAACCCTTAACCTTTAAGAGAGATCCTAAGGTGAAGACATGTTGGGATGTTAACTATCGGCATGGAAAAAGACTGCATAATTAGGCTTTCAAACTGTTTTCGGCTAAAGTATTTTAAAGTATGACTCAATTTATTCAACAGAGACTTTCATTAAATAAAATAGTTTACAAAATGACACAATGCCTTGATGGAGATTACACTTAATGTATACATTTAACACTGTTTAATGCATAAACATTATTGTTTCATTGAATTATTCTTTAGGATTAATGTTTTTTTAAATTAATAATATAATGATTCTTATTGGAAAAACATTTAAAAGGCAATTAAAATGCAATATGCAAAATATGGTCTAGGTTCATATTCCTGAGAGAAATCTAGAACGAAAATCACAAAGATCCGTCTGCTGTTTTGTTTCAGCCAAGATTAAGTGTACTGATAATAAACAAGCTGTGTAATGTGTGAAGTATTTTTTTGTCAAAAGTATCTATTATTGGTTTAGATGAATTATTTAAATTGTTGTGCAGCTCAATGGAGTTTCTGTGTTTGATCGTCAGAGCCGTAAAAGGCAGTGTCTGGAGCAGGGAGTGGTGTTCATAGATGACGACGAGCCGGAGCACGGAGACGAGCATTCAGGCCCTCCCAGTTGGACTGTGAAGCCAAGCAGCCAATCAGCTGCTCTGTCCTCCTCATGCTGCGTGAGTACACTCTACACATGGATGCAATATACCAATAATATGACTTTACTGATACATGGGGAAATATATTGTCCATGCATTTGGATAGGTGTATTTTTAAAGACAGATGTTGATAAGAAACAGTAGAAAAAAGTACAATTAACAATGGAATTAGATCAACTGAGCTGTTTAATTTAAGGGTGCTGGTACCGTGCATGCTGGTTCACTATAACACATGACACCCTTACAGAGCCATTTCAAATTGTAATTATCATAATTGTATTTTTTTAATGATATCTATGTTTTATCAGTGCAGTTTTAATGATTACCTGTTTGGTGTAGAGCTGATAATTGCTACACTGGGTATGTTTCCAAAGTGAGTGTTCTACTTAGACAATCTGATCGACAACATAGTACAATTATCTTGCTTTTGTTGTCGTACTTTATTAATAGAAAGTGCATATTTTTACTTTAACTTCTGTAGAACTGTCACCAAACCCAAATGTACCCAAGGATAAATAAAAGATACTGATTCTGAATGAATAACAGTAGCTGAATCTGAAGTTGCATTAGCAGCAGTCCTACATTTTGGCATATCTTCTTTAACCTCTTCATCAGATATCAACAGAGCAACTGAAATGTAAACCAAAGGTCTGTTGCACGCTATCAGTGTCATGAACAGCCCACAAAAGCACACTGGAGTAGATTATGGCTCGTTTTTGGACCACATACTTTTCAGTTTCACTGTCGGCTATTGGGTGAAAATGACCGTACACTTACACCACTGGATGGAGACATACTCCACTAAATTGACCAAGGCTGTGTTAAAACTACATGTATATATGACATGACATATAACATGTATAGGCTTCAATAGGTCGCATTTGAACATTACAGATCATCCATGTTTTTACAAACCGGTATGTTTGTTTTAGTAAAAACTAAATGCAAATATCCAAGGTGATAAGAGACAGTATACTATTAGTGTTGTGTGTGTGTGTGTGTGTGTGTGTGTGTGTGTTTCATAATCACTTGAATAACATGAAGTTAAATGATCTGCAAATCATACATTTGTTTACCACAAAATAGTAAAAGTATGAAACTAAAATAATATTTGTGCACCATGGACTTTTACCCACAATTCACATGAACTTATATCAATCTCTTCCAGACTTAAAGGTTGTAGCCTTTGGTTCAAATAATAACCTCTTCTCGTTGGGGATACTAGTCATGGAGCTTTAAAATAATCAAACCTTTAGAGTTTCTGCAAGAAATACAGGTAGTGTTACATCTACAACATTGGGTTGAAACCACATTAAAATCTGCGTAGGATAATTGTTGATACATGATCTGATTGCCAATTTTCACAATTGCCAATCAGGCTTTTGTGCAACCATTAACATAGTGATATATTAGACTTCTGACATAATGTCCTCTTCATCAGCTTGACATCATTTCGTTTTTGCCTACCCTACAGTCGAGACAGTTTGTCTGTCTGTCAATCTACCCGTCTCCTACTTTGGCTCAAAGATGAACTGATCAAATTGTTTTGGGTCCGAGGTCAGGATCAGTATGACCTCAAGTCAGTCCCATTCTTGTGCATCTGATATCTCAAGTGAAAACGGGTCATTAGTATTTTGTAATGATGATGACATTTCTTGACTCTATCCTACCATCAGTTTAAAACAAAAAGATAATCAGTTTACTATCATGTATGACAATGAAAAGCTGCTAATGTTTGGCAGAAACAACTGAAAGATTATGAATCATCAGAACAGTTGCTGTTTTTCTTCTGTGGATTTTCAATCACTTATGTGTAAGACAAGTTGTTTCAACTCTAGATGTTTCACAGCTCGGTTTACTGGACTGCATTAGTTTGAATTAGCCTGAGCTTATAAAAGGAAAACTGAGAGAGCCAAATAGCTGCAATCAGCTGCAATCCATGTTCCTGAGTTCTCTGCACATCCTAAATACCAGCATGTGAGCCCTAAATTAGCCATGCTCAGCTATAGAAAGCTGTTCAGAAAGGATTCTGAAGCTGCGTTTTAACTTGCCACAGGTGTGTAGCTTGGATTTAGAGGTGGTTGGAAATGGAAAAAGAGGAGGAGGGAAAGTGAAGTCAAAAAAGCGCGTCTGTCTCTGGTTTCCCTGAAGCTACATGACCCTGGCTCTTTTGTCCCGCGAGCGCTGACTGACGTCCTGAATGGGGCCCTTTGAAGCAAGCTCCAGTTTTAATTAAGAGGGTTTGCCTCGCCTGGACCACTGATCTGTGAAAGCCACGGGGATAAATATTGAATGGGGTTCACCCGCTGGTTACTGTGCCCGAGGGATAAACAGGTGCTTTGGAGGGCAGGTATTTGCCAGGGCCCCCTACCTGCACGGTGTGGTCATATTGGAAGGAGAGGGTGTTTGGTGTCATGTCTTCCAAGGTATTGACTATTGAAGCCCACCCTTATTGGAATGAATTCCAAGCCCTCGAAAGCTGTGGAATGAGGAGCAAATTGGCGTCCAGTGAGAGGCGCCAGTGATACCTAAGTGATCCGCTGCCTGCGGCCCCTCAGTGCCCTCTAACTGGCCCTGTGGAGTGTGAGATTTCCATCTCTCAGGTGTTGGCAGGGAGCCACGCAACAGAAGCCTACCTGTGAATATTCTGAAGTGTTCAGTGACACCACTGACCTCTGTTCTGTCAATTCAAGTAAGCTTTAGCCGGTGCATACACTTGCACCTGGTAGTGTAGGTATACCATGGAAACTCAGTAAACCTGTAATAAGTAAGCTGAGAACACCTGATGAAACGTTGTAAACCACATGAAAGGTAGTAAACCTATCCTTTACAATGTACCTATACATGCTGCGTTAAAAAGGAAGCCTCATGTTATATGTAACTTGAAAGACAAAGTGAGGATATTTTCATTGCAAGTGGCACCAAAGGAGCAACTCCAGTGGAATTGCTAAGCAGCGTGTTGTTGTTGCGTGCGGAGCTGGCGTCCCGTTTGCCCTTTTTGCCAGTTATCTGCATTCCTTTCTAGCGGGTGTCTGCTCTGGGCTGTGGGGCCAGGCTTGAAACCTTGTTGTCCTGGCATCTCGGGAGGCAGGCGCGTAAAAGGATACTCTTGTGTCAGCTGTTTCCTGCTGCAGCTTTTGACAAGGGCCTCTATTCATCACCAAGCCCTTCTACACCACACCAACCCACCCCTTCCTCCCCCCACCTGCCAATGAATAAGTAATTATTGGCCATCTTGGTGCAGGATATTTGGATGGCTCTATTTAATGTGGGAGCAGAAGGTAAGGTGATCGGGCTCAGGGCCCAGGCTACGGAGCGTAACTGTTCCAGAGGAGAAAGGTAACTTGAACTGGTGTTGGGGCCCTGCAGCACCTCTGTTTATTTTTCACATGGACTCAGGGCTCGTTATCCCTCTTAAGTCTGAGAGACAGCTCTCTAAGGGCTCTCTTTGGCCTGCACTCCATCACACATTGTAATATTTGATGGGCAAACATGCTTGAAAAATCTGAGAGGCCGGGTAACTCAAGCTACTCATCTGTCATCAGAAGTGCTGCTTTCTAAACCCCATCATAGGTTGCCATACGTGACAACACATACCATTCATTCTTGCGTGAAATCATTCAGTTAAGTTGTTGGAGATGTAGGAATAAACTTCTTTGCCAGATTGTTCAATATTCAGAAAAATATGGTAATCTCTGAAAAATCTCTTTCCAGATAATCTGACCGGCATAAAAAATAAACAGTGGCTTCTTTCGTCCCTTCCTCTCTGTTTTACAGCCTGTCAAGTGCATTAGCTTGACCCTGTAAAGATGGAGTAGGTTCTCTGTATAGATGTAGGCACAACCATTTCTGAAATTGCCTCGTTGGCCTGTTTAAGAAGGTCAAAGTATATTTTATCAACAGGCCAACACATCAACGTCGTGATTGTCTCGAGTGTCCCAGCACTTCTTTATCCGTTGATGATTCTACTTCTGTCCTAGGCCATACATACTCAAACAATAACGACAAAAAGAACAGTTCATCAAAAATGTTGTAAAGTTCATTTGAGCCATTGTCCGCCATCTTTATCTGCCACCGTCGCCCCAGAAATTGAAAGTGTCAAAATATCAGATTTAATCTTAGTTCAGCAACCGTTTTTTACATTCTTTTTTATTTTTTTATCAAACGACAATGATGAGTGGACATGCCTGCCCTTTACCACTTCTGCATATGGTATGATTTTAGAGGAAAAGACAGAAGACAGAATTTTCTTCTGTGAAGTCATTTCAATCAGCAGACTTTGTCACTGCTAAAAAAGTGGGTAATGTTTTAGATATCCTCTTTCGTCGTACGTGCATTTGAAATGTATCAAATAGAAATATATGCTATATTATTGATTCCCACTCTTGTGTGTCCTTTTCATAATAAATGGACATTCATTGATTTGAAACAATGACAGAGGTTGAACTCTACTAAATATGTGGCTTTTTTATTTATCTTTTTATAAATCATCTTTTATATAAGTGCCCCATAGCTACATACAGTAGGTACAACAATACACTACTGTTAATGTTAATGGTAGCATTTATAATGTTAATATTGATAATGAGGTATTTTACCAAAGAATCTCAAAATGGTTTCCAATACTGGTTTTGAGACGCCTGTGATTTGATGCTGTCTGTGAGCCAATGAATGTCCAAAGTGTACACCACTTAAAAGAGCTCAAAATACAAGTAGGATCGGTTTCATAAGCGTCACTGGCTACACTTCAACTGTGAGGGATGGGGGGGGGCATCCGCAACATCACTGGACGGCCAATTATGAAGCAGCTAGATTTTCTCAGCCGACACAATGGTGGCCGATCCTCTTTCATACTCAAAAGGTCATCTGGTGCAGAGTGACAGGACACCTAATGTATGGATGCAGATTCTTTATGCTTCTCCATGTCTTTTTCAATAGAGTATACAAGACAGTCTGTCAAAGCCCTTTCAGGCTGCAGATAATGGTGATGAGTCGCTGATGAGCTTTTTGTTTCACAATACAGTGAAGAGCTAAATGTAGATAAGCAATTACAATAGTAAGAAAATACCAATTTACAAGAACATTTTGAGATCTTAAAGTGAGATTTGAGATTTAATTAATTAATTCATGTATTATTATTATGTATTGCCTAAATAAATAAGTAACACTGTTGGTTGGACCTCAGAAATAGGAGGCCAGCTAACCTTATCAATAATTAAACAATGCACCATGTATGTGTTGTTGCCACCATAATGTGGATCGTAGGGTGGTTGGTATTGGATGCATGCCCATATATTTATTGGCACAATACGGCAGGTCTTGAGTGCACAAACTGTGTGAAACCTCGAAATGCACCTGATCCTTGGTAAATCAAGCCACATTATCCATGACTTAATTATGATAAAGAAAAAAAGGCAGGGAGTAAGCAACGGCACGGCTCACCAGGGGGGCACTGCTCTACCCCCGTCCCCCCAGCCCCTTCAACACATATGATTTATCACCTTATCTGCCCTCAGATGGTTGCAGGGGTTTAATGAATTAAAGGTGTTTAGTATATGATAAAAAATAAAGAATTTGGAAGGGAAGGAGTTTGCCTAATAAGAAATTAACATTTCATCAGCAAAATTGACAGCCCCTGGTATTGTGCAAACAAGCTCATGGATTAAGATTGATTATTGAGATGTTTAAAACTAGCTGCGTACTACCTCTCACTATTTGTTCCTCTTTTTTCTCTTTCCAGTCCCCTGAACCCTGCATCCTGTGCCCGTGTGCGTCAGCCAAAGAAGCTGTGAAGGACAAAGCCAAAGATGGCAAAAAGAAGGTTCCTAAGATCTTCTTTGGGACTCGCACTCATAAGCAGATAACTCAGATCACCCATGAGCTGAAGCGCACGGTTTACTCCGGCATGCCCATGACCATCTTATCCAGCAGAAATCAGACATGTGTCCATCCAGAAGTGGCGCCTCACTCCAACCGCAATGAACGCTGCAGGGATCTACTGCAGGCTAAAGATGTGAGCATGAACACTTGCATACACACAAACATTCACATGCAGGGATGCAAACTTGTCACCTTTCGGCGAAATTTGCCGTTTTGAATCCAAAATAGGTCGTTTGTGTGATTCATGTAGATCTGCAATAAAAATATTTTCGGGGTATGGGGGGGGTCTGGGACCCGGAGTAATCTTCGGCCGCGAGCTGTTATGTGCCATCATGACACGCATGGTGTTCTTTTTTTATATATTATAATGCAGCGCGAGCTGTGTGCTCGAGTCTTCCTGCCTGTCGGCTCTGCTCATGGATGTATAATAAGGCTCTGCCGCTCCGCTATGATGGTCGAGCTTAATTAGCTACATTACCTACGGGTGCGTTCGTTAATATTAACTGTGCGGTCCGGAGTCACTGTGGCACAGACTGGACCGCTGGTGAACAGCTGTTAGAACGGGCCGTTCAGGTGTTCAGAGCAGAGCTCCCTGTCGGAGCGGCAGAGCGTGATGTGCACTGAAAAATATAATATATATATATATATATATATATATTAGGGCTGTCAGTCGATTAAAATATTTAATCGCGATTAATCGCATGATTGTCCATAGTTAATCGCGATTAATCGCAAATTAATCGCACATTTTTTATCTGTTCTAAATGTACCTTAGAGGGATATTTTTTCAAGTTTTTTAATACTCTTATCAACATATGAGTGGACAAATATGCTTTATATGTTTGTTTATTATCATTTGAACAATGACAAATATTCTCATGAATATTAAACACAACAACCTGAACATTACAAATATTAGCACTCAATTAAAACTGGAACATATATAATGAAATAATAATGTGTGTGTGTGTGTGTGTGTGTGTGTGGTGTGTGCTGTGTGTGTGTGTGTGTGTGTGTGTGTGTGTGTGTGTGTGTGTGTGTGTGGTGATGTGTGCTGTGGTTGTGTGTGTGCTGTGTGTGTGTCGTGTGTGCTGTGTGTGTGTGTGTGTGGTGTAGTGTGTGGCTGTGTGTGTGTGTGTGTGTGTGTGTGTGTGTGATGTGGTGTGTGTGTGTGTGTGTGTGTGTGTGTGTGTGGTGTGTGTGTGTGTGTGGGTGTATGGGTGTGTGTGTGTGTGTGTGTGTTGTTTGTGTGTGTGTGTGTGTGTGTGTGTGTGTGTGTGTGTGTGTAGTGTGTGTGTGTTGTGTGTGTGTGTGCCTGTGGGTTTGTGTGTGTGTGTGTGTTGTGTGTGTGTGTGTGTGTGTGTGTGTGTGGGTGTGTGTGTGTGGTGTGTGTGTGTGTGTGTGTGGTGTGTGGTGTGTGCTGTGTGTGGAGACACTGTGATGGATCGTTGAGCTATGTGCAGCTCAAGGCATATATGCTCGAACGGGAGCTGCCTGGACGCTGCAATAATGTTGCGCGTACTGAGTGTGCTGACTTTTCGTACAATGTCCCACTGTCTGGCTACCTGCATAAAGTCAAGTGCTCGGCGCAGTTGTCGGCGAAATGTCATTGAAACAGCTCCTTATATCCGTTAGCGCAGCTAGCTAGCACCAGATGCTAACAACAACAACAGTAAGGTGTGCCTCGCTCGCGCGAGTCGCGCCACACATACACACTCCCTCCCGGTCCTCCCGATGGCCAGTCCGGGCCTGCCAGTGAGCGTGGAAGTGTGGTCTGCCACAAGCGGGCGGCAGGAGCGGGGCTGTCAGCATCAGCTTGTCGATGGTATTTTACACTAGATGCGCTCTGAAACTACGGCGGCCGAGGACAAAAAATACACATGCGTTAATCGCGTTAAAATAATTAGTGGCGTTAATTTTTTTTTGCGTTAACGCGTTATTAACGCGTTATTAACGCGTTAACTTGACAGCCCTAATATATATATATATATATATATATATATATTATCGTTGAGCTAGCTAACTAACATACATTGTCACTATCTGCTAACGTTAGCTTTAGCCTTCGTTTTCTAATAGTTTTTTTCATAGGCTATAAACGGAGGTGGTATAAGTATATATCTTGTACTTGAGTAAAAGTAGAAGCACTCAGATCTTGTACTTAAGTAAAAGTAGAAGCACTCAGATCTTGTACTTAAGTAAAAGTAGAAGTACTCAGGTCTTGTACTTGAGTAAAAGTAAAAGTACTCAAATCTTGTACTTGAGTAAAGTAGAAGTACTCAGGTTTGAGTAAAAGTAGAAGTACCAGAGTGTAGGAAACAATCCTGCAATCAAAATGTTCCTCAAATAAAAGTACAAAAGTATTATCATCAAAATATAGTTAAAGTAGCTACAGTAAAAGTAGAAGTACTCAGATCTTGTACTTGAGTAAAAGTAGAAGTACTCAGGTCTTGTACTTGAGTAAAAGTAGAAGTACCAGAGTGTAGGAATACTCTGTTACAGTAAAAGTACTGCATTCAAAATATTCCTCAAGTAAAGTATAAAAGTATTAGCATCAAAATATAGTTAAAGTAGCGACAGTAAAAGTAGTCGTTGTGCAGATTGGTCCATTTCAGAATAATATATATGATATGTTTTATAATGATTGATCATGAAAGTGTTCTCAAAGCTGGTAAAGGTGCAGCTAGTTTGAATGACTATGGATACTGCAGGGTAGCTTGTGAATTTACTCCAGGTGGAACTAAAGTCTGATTTAACACTTGATTATATTTCACATCATTCATCCAAATCTGTAAAGTAACTAAAGGTATTAAATACATGTAGTGGAGTCACAAGTACACCATTTACCTCTGAACTGTAGAGGAGAAGAAGAACAAAGTAGCAAACATTGAAATACATAAATAAAGTACAATGTACCGCAGGTCTCCCTTGAAAAAGAGATCGTTGATCTCAATGGGATTTTTTAACCTGGTTAAATAAAGGCTACAAACAAGTATCTCAAAATTGTACCCAAGTATAGTACTTGTTGAGTTTATGAACTTAGTTACTTTACACCAGTGGCTATAAAGATAGAAAAAGACTAAGCCTTGCACAGAGGCATGAAAATACATTTTCAAAATGCTCACAGTGCTGCCAAAATTATAAACTGACTGCCTACACAATTCAAATAAATGCTTTTATACATTTCTATTAGATGTGACTCTTTGGCGTTTCTGTTATATTAACACTGCTGCTTTAGTTGTTCTGACTGCTAACATCCTGTTATTCCTCATTTTAAGCCGATATTCCGTGGGGTTGGGGCGGTCTCGGATCCTTGTCACCTTTTTCATACCTGATGAGTTTGCATCCCTGCACATGACCGTATCTCTATTACATCGTTTTTTAACTGTTAAATGTTGCCCCTTACTACTTAGCTAATATCAAACCTCATGTTATTTGATATGCTTATGTGAAAGAGAAACATCTCAAAGTTTTGTCATGTGAACTTTTATCCCATAACGGTCACAACCTGTATGCCTTTCATAGTAAGGCCATTTCAACCCCCCGTTTTTTTGCACCCTTTTGCCTCACAAAAAACCTGTTCTTGACCTGAATTGGACTCTATTGAACTACAATTAACCTGCATTCAGCTGGTTATGACACACACTTTCTACAAGGAATGAAACATTAATCCACTGGTGAACATTAAACAAACTCAACATTGTATTCCAACTCTTTGATCAAAGCTGATTTCTCAAAAAATTACTGAACACCTGCCATCATGACGCGCATGGTGTTATTTTTGTATGTATATAATGAAGCGCTAGCTGTGTGCTCGAAGTCTTACTGTCTGTCGGCTGCTGCTGAACTCTGCTGCTCCGCGATGAGGGTCTAGCTTCAGCAGCTACGTTACCTACGGGTGCGTTCGTTAATAGTAAGTAACTGTGCGCTAACGTTTAGCCTTCGTTTTCTAATAGTTTTTTTCATAGGCTATAAACAGAGGTGGCATAAGTACTCAGATCTTGTACTTGAGTAAAAGTAGAAGTACTCAGATCTTGTACTTGAGTAAAAGTAGAAGTACTCAGGTCTTGTACTTGAGTAAAAGTAGAAGTACTCAGGTCTTGTACTTGAGTAAAAGTAGAAGTACTCAGATCTTGTACTTGAGTAAAAGTAGAAGTACTCAGGTCTTGTACTTGAGTAAAAGTAGAAGTACTCAGATCTTGTACTTGAGTAAAAGTAGAAATACTCAGGTCTTGTACTTGAGTAAAAGTAGAAGTACTCAGTTATTGTACTTGAGTAAAAGTAGAAGTACTCAGATATTGTACTTGAGTAAAAGTAGAAGTACTCAGGTCTTGTACTTGAGTAAAGTAGAAGTACTCAGGTCTTGTACTTGAGTAAAAGTAGAAGTACTCAGATATTGTACTTGAGTAAAAGGAAGTAGTACTCAGGTCTTTGTTACTTGAGTAAAAGTAGAAGTCCCAGAGTGTAGGAAAAGAGCCGTTTTTTTTAAGGGGGCGGGAATTAATAAATTAATCTGCGAAATAATCACCATGATAATGATTGACTGTATTGCCAGCAATTTGCTTTTTTTCACAGAAAAATGTACAACTTGCTACATCTCTCAGCTGGCCAAACTACTACTCAAGCAGCATGCGTTATGCCATCATCTACGGCAAATGTGCATTCAGGAAAGCAAGTTCCCGTAAAGGCGAGTGGATTTACTCTGTTGCCTTCGTTCGTACCAAAGAGCCGTTCAAAAGAATCAGATCGTTCGCGAACGTAACATCACTAGCAGCTAATTTGAATAACTTTGTATACTGCAGGGTAGCTTGTGAATTAATTTACTCCAGGTGGAACTAAAGTCTGATTTTAAGAGTTCATTACAGATCTGGATTAATGATGTGAAATATAAAGTAACTAAAGGTATTAAATAAATGTAGGGAAGTAAAAGTACACCTTTTACCTCTGAACTGTAGAGGAGTAGAACAAAGTAGCAAAACATTGAAATACTTAAGTAAAGTACAAGTATCTCAACATTGTACCTAAGTATAGTACTTGAGTTTATGAACTTAGTTACTTTACACCAGTGGCTATAAAGATAGAAAGACTAAGCCTTGCACAGAGGCATGAAAATACATTTTCAAAATGCTCAACAGTGCTGCCAAAATTATAAACTGACTGCTACACAATTAAAATAAATGCTTTTATATATTTCTATTAGATGTGACTCTTTTGGCGTTTCTGTTATTATTAACACTGCTGCTTTAGTTGTTCTGACTGCTAAAATCCTCTGTTATTCCTCATTTTAAAGCCGATATTCCGTGGGGTCGGGGGGGCTCGGATCCTTGTCACCTTTTTCATACCTGATGAGTTTGCATCCCTGTGGTTACTACCACTACCAGAAAGAACTCCTTCAACAATGTAGCCTCTGAGCAGCAATTATGCTGCTACAATATTCACAATTGTCCCAACCATTTTTTTTTTTAAACACAAAAATGTCAGGAAGCATTGATTTGAGCTTTTTTAGAGACATGAGACAGTTATTGTCCCCTTACTGACCTCTAGTTGAGACTCCTACTGCAGTAAGGACAATTATGCTGTCATTGGAGGTGTTTGCTTCCTATGGCAATTGTCTCACTTTGTCATATGAAATAGCTGGCCCGAGTCATAACCCCTAACTGGAGTGGGTGTCACTGATGCTCTGTGTCTTCATAACCTCAGGGTCTAGTCTGGTCAGCATCGGGTTACCTTTCTGTATAGACACACAGTGATTCAAACACAGAAAACCACATCGTTCAGATAACGGCGACTTCAGTCAAAACACCTGCACTCTGTTTTAACTGTAACCTGTCCCCACTTTTCTAAATGTGGCTGCCTGGCTGTTAATCTCCCCAACTCCGCTTTCACTGAGCAGACAGGTTTCAGCCTCAGCAAAGTATCCAGGCTAAGCACACCATTGTGAGAGCATTTAATCCAGAGATAATTATTGTGTCTGGAGGTTGACGGGTCCACGGATGTACAGTATTTGTGTTGACAGTGTCACCTCGAGCTGTTAAATCATAAAAGAACAGGGTGGGACACCTGAAGCGGACACCTCTCTGTTGACAGTGTAATTGGGGCTTGGTACATGAGAAGCCTCTTCTTCACACTAATTCTACTTCACTATATGAGTGTCAGGGCATGTAATGCACTACAATGGTTGGAACACCTGATCACAGCTAATTAGGCCTTGGCACGTCAGTTCTTCTATGCAAAAACTCAAATGGAAGACTTTTCACACATCAAGGGGATGAAAGATTTTTCTCTCTGCAGTGACAGCAGCAGCCTATAAAACTCTGTGGCCATTGTGCCTTAACAGGTTAATTTGAACAATGCAATTTACTCAACTTTACTTTACTCAAGAGTGTTTTAGTTTTTGTTCTGTTGGCTGAACCTGTGGCGCTCCTCTGCAACACTGGAGACTCAATTACCCGTTTTACTTCAACCAAAGTTTTAAAGTTGATTATAAGTTGGCACGACTCTATATGTAGGGTTGCACTCCCCATTCCTGAAAAACACTTGCTTCGTGGGAAGGAGCTCCTGTAACAAGTTCCTCCTTCTGCATCAGCAATACAGCTGGAGGAGGGGGACAGAATTTGGTTAATGCGACCTCTGTTCTTACGATCTGAATACCTTAATGGTAAGATCAAGTCAGAAATGTGACTTGCATCACAGCAGCTCCATTTGCAACATATTTCTTTATTTTATTTTTTTTAAATGGTGAGTAGGTTCTTATGACCTACTCACCAAATTCTAAGAAGTCTGCTGTTGCTCGACCGACAGTTGGCACAAAATGATAACTTCAGCTGATGTAAAGAAGTGCATAGCATATAACATAAATATACATACATCTATAAAAAGATTATAAAAAATAAAATGTATAAAAAATGTTCCAAATGAAGCTTTAAGGACAAAGAAATAATCACATTATTGGCACGTTTTATTTATTTTGAAGCAAAAGTATTAACATTTTGGAAAACCCAGAGGTCAGACAGTCATCCTTTTTGTGATGTGATGTTACATCTTCTTGACAATTTACTATTCACTTTGATGCAACCCTTAAAAGTGCCTGGAGGTGGCATTCAGGGTCACTTCTTGAGTAGACTCTAACTTTAGTTCCAGGAACTCATTCCTAAAGCCGAGATCCATGGATTTGTGGACCAGTGACAATACCTTTGTGTTGTCACTGGTCCACAAAATAGTATGTAGTATGTGTCCCGTCAAACTACATGTTTTCTGACCCATGGCATGCTGCAATGTAAATTACAGGGTAAATCATGCCGCTACTACCACGGTGTCCAAAGGATGCGGGATCAGTGCTCACTGCAGCGGGTCCACGGACTCTCTGAAGCCTGGGACATTGAGGACATAGTGGCACTGGGTAAACGCCTTCGCTCATGCCCCTACTACGCTGCACGAGAACTCATGCAGGAGGCCTGCATCGTCTTCTGTCCATATAACTACCTGCTGGACCCAATGATCAGAGAGAGTGTAAGTAGAGTGTGGAAGACGGGGTCATAATTATGTAGGACCATTGGGGGGAAAAAGGTGCAAAAGAAGGGAACAACAGGAAGTTTACAACAGGAAGTTTACTTCTTTCTTCTTCCTCTCTTGCTTTGAATCTTAATTGTTCCAGATGGAGATTGACCTGACTGGTCAGATTGTGGTTCTGGACGAGGCCCACAACATCGAGGACTGTGCAAGGGAGAGTTCCAGCTTTAATCTAGACCACAGCAGTCTGCTGGCATGTAGGGACGAGCTTGACGGCATGGTCAACATCAACATCAGACGATCCCAGCACGAGCCACTCAGGAACTTCTGCTATAGCTTGATCAAGTTAGTATCTTCATTTTGCTTATCTCTGCTTTTATATGTTGACAAGACATTTGCTGAATATGTCTTTTGTCCATGCTGTAGCTGGATCCAGGAGAGCCAAGGCTTGATGTCTGAACGAGGATATGAGACTTCCAGTAAAGTCTGGAATGGGAAGGATGTACTGGGCATCTTTCATAACCTTGGCATCACTGCTGACACCTTCGGCCTTCTGAAGGTACACCAAAATATCTTTGCTTTATCTGTTGTTGGGATGTCATGAGGACCAAAACTGAACAACTGAAAATCTCGTATTATGACATCCATAATCTCTTCGTGTTTGAGCTTCTCCACAACCTTACATTGCTATTATTCGATTCAGTTCAAATGCTCACACTAAGCCTCAAGCACTGTCGAATACTCCAGAATATCTAAAACCAAATATCTCTTCCACTGTCTTTCCTTGTGACAGAAAAACCTGGCAGCAGTTTTAGAGAAGGAGGAGCGTGTTGGTGTGGTGAATGGAAAAGAGGATATGGTTCAGCTCCCAACAATCAGCTCAGCATCCTCCATTGTCCTCAAAAACCTCTTCATGGTGCTGGGCTTCATGTTCTCTTCTGAGGACAACTGCAGGTCAGAAGCAAACCAAAGAAGTCAGCTAGACCAAAATCCAAAATCATGCCTCACATTAACAGTTGTACAGGGTATGGAATGACCACTCAGTTTTCTTTGTCTGTAGCTTTGCTGAAGACTACCGGGTAGCTCTGCAGAAGAGCTACGCTTGGACGAACCAGGTCCCACCTGATGTCCCTGATGCCCATGGCTTTTTTGTTCGGCCTCGCCAAAGACAACGCCTGAGTGCCAGAGTCAAGGCAGAAGTCCTAACACTCAGCTTCTGGTGCCTCAACCCTGCTGTGGTGAGAGCTTTGAGATTGCACACTGATTTATTACTGAAATAGGTTGTGTAGTAATAATGAGACATTTTTCTACGCCAACACCGAAGATAGCATTGCAAGGGCTCTTGACTAAAAGCCAATCGAAATGTTCAGAATCAGTGGAAACAAGCATTTATGATACTTACACATTTGGTTCATCAGGATAATCTCCACAAATGAACACCTCTTTTATAATAGTTGAAGCCCAAATGGATTTGTAAGAAGTAAAGCTATGCTAATGTACAAACTACATAACAGTCGCATGACTTAACGTCAATCCCGCTAAGCTAAAGGCTTTCAGACCCGAAGTACTCAAATGAAACTCTTTCACGGGTTTAGGAATCATTCCTGCACCACCCTGTCAAGGCTATCTGCAAAATGCTAGTTAAATATGTAATTAAAACAAATGTTAAAGCCTTTATATTTTCTAGCTCTTCAATTCCTACCTATCCTCTATTATTGTATGTTTTGATATGTTTATGGCATACTTGTCAGCAGAACCATACTTTACAGTATTGTCTCTATCTGCGTCTCCCAGGCTTTCTCTGACTTGAGAAAGTCTGTGCACAGCATTGTGCTGACATCAGGAACCCTGTCACCAATGGGCTCGTTCTCCTCTGAACTTGGAGTGAAGTTCACCATCCAGCTGGAGGCCAACCATGTTATCAACAAGTCCCAGGTCAGTAGGTTTACCAATGACACTGAGCCACTTGCCACCCTGCAGTGGATATGTTTTGTGACTGTTCCAAAACAAAATGTAGCTGCTTGATTCATGGATGTCTAGCTTAATCATATAACTCTCTGATGTATGTCATAAACCTCCATCCTCATGAGTCATTGATATCCCTAAGCATCTCTAAAGCTCCATTTTAGAAAACGCTGTATGATTATCTCCACTTGTCTCAGTAAACTTGATATCCAGGTCTTAAAGGGGTCCTATGCTTTTTTGGATTTTCCATTTCCTGTATTGTGTTATATAGGTTTCTGTGCATGTTGATAGTCTGGAAATCCCAATGTTTCTGGCAAACAGACACTTTTACAATTTATGCTGCACATCTGTCACAGTGCCAGTTTTGTCCAGCAGATGTCACAGTTTAACCATTGTATTGCAATATGTTAATGTACTGTATCTAATTCCTGGAGATATTGTTGTTTTGTCCCTTAATAATCCCTGGATGTATGTATTTTGTGAATTATATTGGTGATATGACATTTACACTGCTAAAACTCTCTATTCAGGTTTGGGTGGGCACTATTGGTTCAGGACCCCAAGGCAGAAAGCTCCTCGCCACCTTCCAACACACTGAAACGTACGCCTTCCAGGACGAGGTGGGGGGGCTGCTGCTCAATGTCTGCCAGGTCGTGGCCAAGGGTGTCCTCTGCTTTCTGCCATCTTACAAGGTAAATATGTAAATACACCACTAAGACATACTCTACTAAAACAGGAAACATATGCTATGAAATAAATGGTCCGATAGGAATCAATGTGTCACATGGGCCACTTTTAGATAGGGTTAATACATCTCACCACTACATGTTCTGGCATTGCATTGGTTAGCTATTTTTGGTGTGCAGCACATGTATAGAAAGTGTAAATATTATTATAAAATATTTTGTAATTCGCAGTTCCAAGCTGTTTGAGAACCTTTGTGAAACAATTATTTTATTAGGAGTTAATAAGACAAACAATCCAACAAAAGGGATTTGTATAAAACACTTTAAATGATGGTGCCAGGTTATTTAGACTAGCTTATGATTCTGTCTCTATCTAACAACCTCATCATATTCCTTTTGGTTTGGTTTTTCATCTTTGTTTTGCAGAAATAGAGACAAAGTGTTTCTCACATAGCGAAAGCGCATATTCATTAATATGAATGAGGTGTAAATGTGTCGGACCTTGGTATCGTGGTGTTCCACATTAAAAGCAAACATTTAAAAAGCAAGAAAGATACATTTAGGATATATAGATAAATGAGATGAAAGATTATAAAAATGTGTAATAAAGCCATTATAACGCATCAATACAGAATGCAATACAAAACAGTACTAAGTATCCTAAAAACTGAGCATTCTCAGCAATGTGTTTGCTATTGCACGGCATTGCATACATATGACAGAAGATATTTTAAGCATTTCTGATCAGAGTGTACACAAGTATTTTTCAGAATATGGTTTCATGCTAAGTTAGTAATTAGGTTTGTTTTAGAAATGTGCTTTGTTGTATAACGATCCATAAATGAACACTATTAAAGGTTGTAAAAAAGGAGCAAATAACTATTTTAAAACTATTTCAAAAATAATAATGAAAAATTAAGAGAAATGTTTCAAAAATATATAAAATAAGCAAAAACATGAATACAATAAGAGACGGACACATTTTTCTAAAAGCCAAAAATATGTGTGGTACATCAGAATTGATGGTGGTTGAGCTTTACAGTTATTAAATAGACCGTGATGAATAGAAAAATATACAGAAGTGTGCAAGATTTACAGTATTGAAAATGAGAAATGGATCACATGATGATTGTGATCTTTAAAGATGATTGGTGATTTCATAATTTATACAAAATATCTACCGCTGCCATTTTGTTGATTGAGGTGTCACTGCCCCTCATGCTACCTACACCGTTATACTCTCAGAATAATGAATGACATGTATTGAAGTGGTTGTGTATGTTTGCAGTTAAAACCTACATTTCCACATCCTACCACTGGGAGGAGCTAAAGACCATAACTTTGAGTCATGTCCTGTGTTTTTGTTGTTTGAAGGTATTTCTATTAACTTGGCTTACACAACATTAACCCTTTATAAAGCCTAAACTAGATTCCGATAGATCGCACTGCTCAGAAGCAGCTGTTGTTGGTGCCTTATGGTACAATAGATCACAATAATCAATAATCAATGGAGGTACTTGTCAAGTTCTTGTTAAATGCTGTCATCCTCTTGGAAGTGTATCCTCTTACAGTTAATGAGGGCGCTTCTTAGAGCGCACTCATAGACACTTTGTCCCCCTTTGTTTGTTATGCGTTTTTCTTCATGAATAATGAATATCCACTGTGGCTCAGTTGTCACATTAGCTTACTCAGGGACAAGTGGATTTCATTTTTCATTGTGTTTGTCCACATTGCACATGTGACCGGTAACTTTGATCAATTAGCAATGTTTGTCAATGAGCATACATACTGCTGAAAATATTTTACAATTGAGTGAAAAGTCATTACGAAAAAAATATTTATTTTGAACAGATATTTTTTGTGCCAGAAGGCGCCTTTATTTGAGATGCAGTGTTGAAAGGGGGAGACATTGCCTAAAATGTTCGGCGGGCTCTGGAGTCTAACCCACTTACTTGGCAGCTGACCGTGCATATGGGCCGCCGGCTCTATCCACTGAGCTATCTGGCGGCCTAATAACCCATTTTTTAACCCATTGTCAGTAAATGGATTATGCATCGGATTATAAAACTATATTTAAACTAAAAATGCCCCTCCTCTCCCAATTTGCATTTGAATCAATTTTAGAGGTTCCTTTTAAACAAGCCTTAAACGTTTTGTATAGCCAAGCATTTAATCGCCATCATTATAACATATTGTCCAGATACAAGTCTTTACGTTTTGAAAATCTTAGGTTTTTGAAAGTCGTGTATAATGGTTACTGTGATATAGAATATGTAAAGTTGTGGAAATTAGCCAATAGCTAAATCTGGTTTAAATCATCTCTTCTGTCTTTGAGATACACTTTTATGCATGGTCCTTGTTCAATAAAGACATCATAAAAATAGTTGCTTTCTCCAGTAATTCACAGAAAAATAAAGAAAAAGTATAGAAATCTGAAAAATCTAATATTTTGAATGAGCCACACATTTGGTTGTGCTTTCCAATATATGAATATGGTTAATATACATTTAACATCTTACTATTTCTAAATGGATTGGTTAAGTAACATTTTTGTCAGCAGTGTACAGAAGTCCCCTTTTCCTAACGCTCTGTCAGCAATGCCTCATTACTTTATTTTTAAGGATTTTGAACTTCTGAAGTGAACTTCTCTCTTGCTGTTACAACTGGAAGTACATTGTGTCATAGAAACCAGGCATCAATAACAAACTGTTTTGCCTGTGATAAATGAATCTCATGTAAACAGGACACATTTTCCATAAAACTGTGGACCTTCAGTCGTGTTTTGCCCTTGGCAAGTATAGTTTTTGCCTTTGGCATATTTGTGGGGTTTGTGTTCAACTTGTATTTCCACGCGTCACATTCAGTGATCATTGGTTTGATTCCACTTCGCTCTATTCCTCTGTCCTTGTTTCCCTGCTATCCAGTTGCATTTCTGATGAATCCAAACAGTGAGGGAAAGCTAAGACTCGAGTTGTTTTCTCATTTTACCTTCCTTTTTGTCAGCCTGTGCTGCGAGCCGAGGAGCGACTATGAGCTGTGGGATGTTTTTTTATTATTGATAGCCATGTAGGAGTCTCCTATCTCTCTCTCTCTATGCTGATGCATTAATATTTAATCTGCAGTCAGCTCTTAAAGATGAGGAGATATGAAGGGCTGGGGTATTAATTGGAGCCCGTGGAGGCCTTGTTGGTGCCGCTGAGTCCCGTCTTCCCTCTAGTGTGTGGGTGTGTGTGTGTGTGTGTGTGTGTGTGTGTGTGTGTGTGTGTGTGTGTGTGTGTGGTGTGTGTGTGTGTGTGTGTGTGTGTGTGTGTGTGGTGTGTGTGTGTGTGTGTGTGTGTGTGTGGTGGTGTGTGTGTGTGATGTGTGTGTGTGTGTGTGTGTGGTGTGTGTGTGTGTGTGTGTGTGTGTGTGTGTGTGTGTGTGTGGTGTGTGTGTGTGTGTGTGTGTGTGTGTGTGTGTGTGTGTGTGTGTTGTGTGTGTGTGTGTGTGTGTGTGTGTGTGTGTGTGTGTGTGTGTGTGTGTGTGTGTGTGTGTGTGTGTGTGTGTGTGTCAGAGTACAGGTCATCTTCAGACATCTCTGTTCAGTGTGTCGTCTAAGTGATGACTATCAGTAGTGGTGTAGTGGACCGCAGTTGATCTGTGATCCATGCAGATCTCCCCCACGGTTTAATTACACAGCCATCGTCACTGTGTGAAGTAAAGTTCTGCTGCCGATCGAAGGCGCAGGTAAATTATAATGCAAATGATTCTGAATAAAGTCTTTTGGTGCTGCATAGATATCCCGGGCTACAAATCGTATTCTACATACTTAATAAAATATCTTTGTTTGTTACAGATCCTTTTAAAAATCACAACATGATCATTTTAAATGATAATGAGAATAATGAATCATCGATCCCTCCAACAATGTGAATCATATTGCAATAGCAATATTCATCAAGATTATCACAATTAATTATTTTTTCCTAATTATGCAGCCCTACAATTAAAGTTTAAAGGTGAAAAAATGTATATGTGTATGTACAAGATGGGGAATAACGACCGGTTTAACTGCCTACTAGCTTAAAATACACAACTAAAACAATTAAGGCAACGATTAAAGAAAATGCGCATTTGTTTAAATAAATATGTCAAAATGTGTTTCCCAATCTTTGAGTTGTATATTTTTATGCAAATAACCACTATAGATGTAGTAATAATATGAAGGTAAAATAATAACATCAAGCATTTTTTCAAAGATTTTCTTTTGTTGGCCACCAGTTTCTTTATTTCAAATACAGTTAAAAGGGAGAGATAGAGGAGAGGACATGTGTAAAAGGTCGAATTGAAACCCCTTAGTACATTGGCCACCAACTCTTCAGCTGATCTTTCCAGTGGCCCTATGTTAAGCATTTCTCATTGGTTTAACCTGACTTTGATGCTTAGGAAATTATTTTTAGTATCAGTGGTGCGCCTTCAATAGCACATTTTAGTTTGTTTTTGCGAAAAATAATCCTGGCCGTGACTCCAAAACGAAATACTGTTTGAACCCTGAGTTTGAGATGTGTTGCACTCCTTACTATCAGCCTCTTACACACAGCTGGATCAGGGATAGACAGAGAGAGCTCGGACGCACAGGCCTGCAGGGTCAAAGGGTTTTACCCCTCTGCCTTCACACACACATACATAAACACATAAAGTCAAAAGAACCCCCTTCTAAGATGCATTGGCACTAATAAGTGCAATATATCTTTTTAATAGCAGGTCGAATGACTACACAAGTAGTAATAAAATGAATCTTAATTGTTGTCAACAATGCCTTTTCGGGACGGTGTTGTGAAATTAGCTGTAACTAATGTTGTCTTTTCGCAGCAATAGCGTTGGCACACTGCAGTCAAAATAGTTCAAAGAAAACTCGAGAGAATGTTGCGCAGCTCAATAAATGTCGTTTTTAAGAAACACAGACGCAAAGTATATGCTTGTAATCACGGTCACACGCACACACTTTCCCACAGAGCCTGCACCAG